TTTAGGCCGGTCTGGGCTACATGAGACCCTATCAGATGGGGGAGGCAGTTATTTTCTAATTCATCTTTACCCTGACCCCAAATCTCAGAATAGTTTCTGTTTGTACACACATTCTCATTTTTCCATACTAAAGCTATGCATCGCTCACCTATAAAGCACCATTTATACCTCAGGCAGTGTGAAGGACACTGCAGCCACACCCAAAGCTGTACAGGTATGCATCTTACCAGCCACACTACGGGCCCCAGCCCTCAGTACCACTAACCCTTATAAACAATGGTGGGGTTTTAATGGCTCATCATAAAACGAGAAAATAAAAAATAATAATAGGTAACATTTGTTAAGTGCTTACAGTGAGCCACACGCAGTAATAAATAACTCCTTCCTTCCGATGGCAGCCCTCTGGGGAACGATTTTTACCATCCTTGTTTTCCATGTGGGGAAGCAGCGCACAGCAGCCTCATGCTGCTCTCTCCCCTTTAGCTCTGGGCCCTCTGCTGCTCTGCTTCTGGGGTGAGGACATTACTTTCTCCTATTGGACAGTCATAGCAAATCTCGATCCCAAGAGGTGCTACATAAATTTGTGCTGACAGTTGAATCATCTAAGCAAACTTATGGGCAGTGAGATATTTAGATCAATTGTCTTCTAAGACATCCAGAGTATGGAATGAGTGCAGGGTGAGTTCAATGCTGCCTGCCTTCAGGCATGGTCCCAGAGAGGATTCCTCTCCCTGTCCCCTGCACCCCACCCAGCAGCTTGTTCAGTGAGCAACTTGGCTTATATAAAGCTGAAGGTTATAACCACCCCAAACTGTAATAAGAGGATATGTTTCAGGGTTGGGATTGCAAAGTAGTTTCCATGTTTTACTGGATTGCTTCAATACCTGGGAATTTTTTTTTTTATAACAAACTTGTGTTGCCTTTAAATTAGAAGACCTTAATGATAATAAATAAATTAAACCAAAGGAAATTATTATTTGTTTCTCCCACTCTTTTTGGCTAGACTTAAAGGGGTGAAAAGTTGTTATTTGGATAAAACCCTTGACTCCTTAGTTCTGTGGAGTTTGATAAATAAAAGAACTGGAGGTCTTTGCCCATTGTTAGGAAGTTCAGACTGCCCTCTGAAGATCTGCTGACACAACTACCAACAGCCGGATTAGCAGCAGAAAAGGGACTAGGGATATAGCTCCGTTGGTAGAGGGCTTGCTAAACATGCATGAGGCCCCGGGTTCAAGTCCCTCACAACATAAAATGTGGTATAATCTCAGCACTCAAGGAAGCAGGAAGATCAGAAGTTCAAAGTCATCCTCAGCTACATATCAAGTCTGAGATCAACCTGTGCTACATACAACCTTGTATCAAAAAAAGAAAATGCGTATGAATTTATCCATGCTCAGAGGCACAGGAGTCGTAAACATGCAACTTAGAGAAGGGTCAGATGAGTGAGATATAAATACCCTCTTCCTTGGAGAGAGGATAACAGGTGGGGGTCTTCAGCACTTTTAGAGAAAGAGGACATAACATTCCCTCCAGGGAAGAGAATGAATGAATGGGACAAACTTCCTCTGGGATCTAGATAAGGGGTTTGATTTCAGGCCCTTCCCTTTTATATGACTTTATTCTTCTTTGGTTAATGAACTTAAGTGGAAAGAATCCTCTCTGGATAGATAAAGAAATTTCCAGAAATGGCCTACTTGGCATCCACTCCTCTTCCTGTGTTCTCAGATTCAAGCACAAAGCCGTATATTTTGGAACACTGTTTTCTAATCCTCAGCACCACTGGGGAGGCAAAGGTGGTGAACTTCTGAACACAGAAGTTCCAAAGTTACAAAGATAAATAGAGTATCCCTGAAGAGGTCTGCAGGAGTGAGCTAACCACCCAGAGAACTCCCCACATAAAAGGAAGAGGAGAGAGCTGAATGGGACCCAGAGGTTACACAGAGCACAGGCCGAACTTGTAAATGGAGTTTGCTTGGTATGCCTATATGCAGGAACAGGGGAGGAAGAGCCTCTTCCCTAGAGTCCTGATCTCCACTCCCTGAAATAAATGAATGTGCTTGTGCCACACTGATCTGTCTGGATGAACAGGCTCAAGGGCTGCCCTCAGCTGACCCACATAGCCCTAGGTCATTCCCACACCAGTGAAGACCTCAGGCTAAGGGAATGCAGGAGCCCTTTGAGATCAATAGACATCCAGTTTGGTAGGTTCCAGGCTCTTGTGTCCTGGAATGAAGAATTGGACAGAGCTGCAGAAGTGGGGACAGTTTATTAGAAAATGTTGCATTTCCAGGGAAGAAGTCAAGCAGGAAGAAAGTTTAGAAGCTCAAATGGCCATGTACAAAGGATGGGGGCGTTTATGTCACATAATGTGGGCTTTTGATCTCGTTTGCATAGTGTGGGCATGCATTTCTACATACAGCATCTTAAATTTCTGCCCAAGGGTGTGTGTTTTAATGTGAGTCACAGGTCACCTTTGGACACTCTGAAGTGCTTCTGAGCCTGTGGCAATGTGGCTCTGGTCAGTTCTAGTCTACAGGTTTGACTACAGGTTTTTCTTGTATGCTAATTTTGTAGTCTTTGGGTAAGGCCTATGGTATCTTGCCCTCCACCCTAACTCTCCTGCCTCACTTTCCTTTCCGATTTCTTACACTGAACCTCTTGCCCTCCATCCTAATCCCTAAAGAGGCTGAACCCCGGTATAGAGAGAGCCTGGTGGAGCAGTTCTGGAATGGACTAAGGCTGCCCTGAGAGCTCCTGATGGACAAGGAGGGTAGACATGTAGTCTAGAGTGATATGGCAGAGAGAAGCTCCAGGAGAGATTCTAGGTCCCCTCCTGCCCTGGTTTCATTTTGTTACTGTGCTAAAACACTCCGACTAAAAGTAGTGTGGGGAGGAAAGGATTTATTTCATCTTACACTTTCAGGTTGTAGTCCATCATTGAGGGAAGTCAGGCAGGAACTGAAGGCAGGAACCATGGAAGATGCCACTTGCTAGCTAGCTGGCTCATGCTTAGCTAGCTTTCCCTTCCTTCCTTCCTTCCTTCCTTCCTTCCTTCCTTTCTTTCTTTCTTTCTTTCTTTGTCTTTTTGAGACAGGGTCTCCCTGTGGCCCCAGCTGTCTTAGAACTCACTGTGTAGACCGGGCTGACCTTGAACTCACAGAGATCCGCCTGCCTCTGGCCTCCTGAGTGCTGGGATTAAAGGCATGCGCCACCAGACCTGGCTTCTTTTTTTTTTTAATTTTTATTTATTATTTTTATTTTATGTGTCTGTGTGTATTGCCTGCATGTATGTGAGTGCACCCGTGTCGTGCAATGCCCACGGAGGTCAGAGGAGGCTGTTGGATCCCCTGGGACTGGAGTTACGGACAGTTGTTAGCTGCCATGTGGGTGCTGGGATTCGAACCTGGGTCTTCTGCAAGAACAACCAGTGTTCTTAACTGCTGAGCCATCTCTCCAATGCCTAGCTAGCTTTCTTTTACAACCCAGGACCAGCTCAGGGATGGTGCCACCCACAGTGGGCTGGGCTCTCCTGTATCAATGAATAATCAAGACATTCTCTCATAGACAGGCCCATAGGCCAATCTGATCTAGGCAGTTCCTCAATGGAGGCATTCCTCTTAGATGACTTTGAGCTGTATCAAGTTGACAATTAAAATTAACTGGGACACCTCTCTTTTACCCCTAGATTTTTTGCTTCTGTCTTTCATTAGACAGTTGAGTACTTGGCTGGATGCTTAATACTAAATACTGTTTGTTGTTTATCTAATGGTCAAGCTTAACTGGGTGTCCTGTTTTCTTATTCACCAACCCTGGTTTAACCCTAAGCAAAGACCATACTGTTCCCTGCTACTCACACTCAGGAGCCCAGCAGGGTGTGATATCTTGAGCAGGGCAGGCAGTATAGGCCCCTAGCAGGATGGGGCCCCCAAGTGTACCTTGATACACTAATGCACAGCGGAGGATGCTGGACTTATCTCTTGCCCGCCGTACCTACTTGCTGAATGAATAACAACAACCAGCATAGAATGTATGTTCCAAAAAAAACTATTCAAAGAAGCTACAAGTACAGCCAATGCAAGCCTCTATTTTTAGAAATATTTGTGGGCCAGATGAAATAAAAACATTACTTGGTTCATTCTAGCAGGCAGACATTTGTTGGAAGTTCCAAGTTTGGTAACATAAGCGAAATTTCCCTGTTGGACACAACTGTAAACCCATCTCTCTTGACCAATAATAGTCTCTTCAACACTATTTGCCAAATTCATGGTAGTCTGACTGAGTAGATGAACATTAAGAAAAGTGATCATAGGCCTCCTGTGCTGTTATTTTCCCACTAAGTTGGGTATACAAAATTTGGAATGAGTTACCATTTAGAAAAAAAAAAACTGATGGGAGGAATTTTATTTCTTTTTAAAGGTTTTTATTACATTTATATACTTTGTGTGTGTTGGGGGGGTGAAGGTCAGAAGACAACATGTAGCAGTCAGTTCTTAACTTTTGCTCTGTGGGTCCCCAGGATTGAACTCAGGTCATCAGGCTTGGCAGCAAGCAAGTTCTGTTATCCTCTGAGCCATCTCTATAACCCAGCAATTTTAAGTATTATTTAGAAAGAGACTGGTGGAATAAAAGAAGAAATTTGTAAATGAGAATATTTGTCAGATGTGTATATAAACAAGTTCTGCTTTTTTTTTTTTGAGGTACTGGAGATTGAATCCAGGACCTTGTGCATGCTAGGCAGCTACTCTACCTTTGAGCCACATCCCAGCCCTTGATTCTTTCAAGACAGGCTCTCACTGTGTAGCCCAGGATGGCCTTGAATTCTTGACTGTCCTGCCTCAGCCTCGTGGGTGCTTGGATGCCAGACGTGTGCTTTCATACTCAGTTTCCTTATTTTTTCCAAGGGCACTGTGGGTGCTCTGCTTCTCACCCATCATGGCCCAAGAAGTTGAAACCCTTCTCCATTGTTTTAAAGGCTAAAAATCCAATGTTCTGTTTTGCAGCTGTTGAAGAAGAAGAAAGCAAACCAGAGCAACCATTCCCAGGACCTTTTCCAGGAAGTCTATCAGCTGACCACAGGCCATTTTCCTCACCTCACTCCAGTGGGTACCAGCCTGCCTTGACGCACTCACTATCCCATACTGGAAGACCATATCCAGCACACACAGCCATTCCCCATGTGACCTCTGCCGCATCAAAGCACCTACCTCCTGTTGCATTTAATCACACAATTGGACACATAATACTTTCAGAACATAAAAATGTCAAATTTAATTGCTCAATCAATATTCCTAAAATGTATCAAGAAACTGCTGGTATTTCTTGGTGGAAAGATGGAAAGGAATTGCTTGGGGCACATCATTCAATTATACAGTTTTATCCCGATGATGAAGGGATATCAATAATTGCCTTGTTCAGGTAAGTGTCCTCCCTTACTTTCTTTTAAAATGTCACTATGCTAATGCCTCAAAGGCAACCCCCCCTTTTTAAAAAAATTTTATGTGTATGAGTCTATTGCCTGCATGTATGTGAGTGCACCCATGTCGTGCAATGCCGCAGATGTCAGAAGAGGGCTTCGGATTCCCCTGAAACTGTAATTAAGGATGGTTCATAGCTGCCGTGTGGGTGCTGGGAATCAAACCCAGGTCCTCTGCAAGAGCAGTCAGTGTTCTTAACTGTTGAGCCATCTCTCCAGCCCCGGCAAAACCTCTTAAGTAAAAAAACAGACTTGTGTTTTAAGTAACCTTGACCCCTTTAGAATATGGATGGCTAGCCGACTTCTTTTAAATGAGCTTGACCCTACTGTAACTGCTGGCTAACATAGACTATGGGGGCTTGAAGGGCTATTTCCACCTCAGCTATAGGTCAGTATCATACTCACGTAGATCTAAGAGCTCTCCCAAGAGTGGAAAATAGTGAAGGCTGTGTGTATATATTTTTTAGTGCTGGAGATGGAACTCAGGATCTTGTATGAGCACATATTCTACCACTGAGCTTTGCTCCAGCCCAGGATAAGTGGTTTTGTTTTGTTTTGGTTTGGTTTTTTGGAGAGAAGGTCTCATGTAGGCCAAGCTGATCTCAAACTTTCTATGTAGCTGAGGCCTGTCTTGAACTCCTGATCCGCCTGTCTCTGCTTCCCGAGTACTGGGCTTACAGGTGTGGGTGACCAAATCTGCTTTGAGAAAGTGTTTGTTTTGTTTGTTTTAAGGAGTTTGAGAATATCAAGGGCTGGGGAGATGGCTCAGCTGGCAAAGTGTTTGCCTTGCCAGCATGAGGACCTGAATTCTGTTCCCAGGAGGAGATAGTGCATTCTTATAACCCCAGTTCTGGGGAGGTGGAGACAGATGGATCTCATGCTCACCAATCAGCCTAGCCTACTTGGTGAATTCCAGGTGCATAAGGAATGATACCCTAAGTTGTCCTTTAGCCTACACACACACACACACACACACACACGCATGCACGTACAGAGGTGCACATGCATATATATGCATCCACAGGCAAACCTAAAGAAGCATAAAGGAGAAGGCATCCAAGCTATCTAGTGGTTATGGGAACTTTAAAGTAGTACAGATGTCTTAGTCCTTTGACTCCTATATCCCTTGCCCTCCAGCTTTCCCTAATACCTCTTTCCTGTTGCTGCCAGTTACTGCACCAGCACATCCCTCATTACAGTGGCATAAGGTGTGGGGAATGAGACAGGCTCTCAGCCACCCTATCAGTACTCCCTCTGTTTTACAAGGGTGAGATTGATGAGTTAGGGTTAACAGTTATCAGCCAAGGCAGGACATGTATCTGGAATATTCTATCCTCCCAAAGGTTAAGCCACTGTGCTTCAGAGGCTATAGACAGTGAGCTAGTCACCCTTTGGTATTGCCCTTTCTTCCTTTTACCCTGGAGGGGGCTTTGTCTGCTGTTTCTTGGTTTTTGTTTTATTTTTATCACCCTGTATGCATATTTATGAGGTACATCCTCATATGTACACACCATTCATTGATCAAATCAGGATAATTAGCAATTCCTTCTCTTGATTTCTTTATATTTAGAGCGTTTGAATGCCTTTCTCCTGGAACCTCATACAATGTGTAATAGATTACTGTGAACTGTAGCTACCCCACTGTACTGCAGAACACCCAAATATATTCCTTCTATCAAACTGTGTTTGATCCAATCTCTCTTCTTCCGCCATCCCCTCACTTCCCAGCCTCCAATAATCACAATTCTACATTCAGATTAACTTCTTTTTAAAATTTTTTTATTTTTTAAGAAGTTTTATTATTTTTATTTTATGTGTATGCACGTATTGCCTGCATGTATGTAAGTGCACCCATGTCGTGCAATGCCTGAGAAGGACAGAAGAGGTCGTTGGATCCCCTGGAACTGGAGTTAGGGACAGTCATTAGCTGCCATGTGGGTGCTGGGATTTGAACCCTGATCTTCCACAAGAACACTCAGTGTTCTTAACCGCTGAGCCATCTCTCCAGCCCCAGATTAACTTCTTTAACTTAGGTTAAAAAGGATTTTGTTTTTATGTTTTGCACCAGGTCTGTCTTGCACGCGCAGTTGGAAAATGGGCTTGGCTTATGGCTGTCTAAAGCTCAAAGTGTGGTCAGAACCACATGGAGTCCAGCGAGACCTTTTCTCTGTGATTCTTGCACTCTGGTGTTGAGCCCTCTCTGGTCTGTGATGTTTTTGCTTTCTCTAACCTGACACTTGGCACGGATCCATATGTGTTGTGCCTTTTGGTAAATCATTTTATGTTCCATTTTCAGAAAGCCACCCCACAGTTATCGCAGACCTGAGCACTCTGGTCAGAATTTAGTTTGTCAGTATTTCCACTGGATGTGCTCTGCTGTCAGACAAAGAACAAACTGGTGATTTCTCTTAGTTCATTTTATTCTGGCTGGGTATCTTGGGCTGCCCTTCTTAGCCAGTGGCTGCAAGGACATCTGACTGTTTTTTTTTTTCTGAATCAACTACAGAAACAGATGTTTTACATAGGCACAGCTTATGAAGAGAAAAATAAAATCATCATTTAATAAGCACCTAGTAAAACTGGTGATTTCTCTTAGTTCATTTTATTCTGGCTGGGTATCTTGGGCTGCCCTTCTTAGCCAGTGGCTGCAAGGACATCTGACTTTTTTTTTCTGAATCAACTACAGAAACAGATGTTTTACATAGGCACAGCTTATGAAGAGAAAAATAAAATCATCATCTAATAAGCACCTAGTAAGGACTTATTTAAAGGCTGAAAGAAACAGAAGGGTGACACACAGGTCTCCTCTGGTGTCACTTAAAGAGAGCATAGCCCTGCTATACTGGGCACAGCCATCTATAACCATGGGTTGGCTGGTACAGCTGCCATGCTTTTCTTCCATAGCGATGGGCTTGAGCGCATGATACCAGCTCTAGGTGGCTCTGAGGACCTGATTTAAGAAGGGGCATTGAGGCACACACCTTTAATTACAGTTCTCAGGAGGCAGAGGCAGGCAGAGAGTTCCAGGCCAGTGAGGACTGCATAGTGAGGCTCAGTCTCCAAAAAAAGTTTGGCATAAGGACCTGAGTTTGATCCCAAGAACACACATAAAAAAGTTGGGTGTGGGAGGCAGAGACAGGCAGGTCCCTGGGGCTTACTGGTCAGCCATCCTAGCCTACTTATTGAGACCCAGACCAGTGAAAGACCCTCTCAAAACATGAGGTAATGGGCCAGCAAGATGGCTCAGTAGGTAAAGGTGCTTGCCACCAAGCCTGACCACCCTGGAGTTTTATCTCCAGAATTCACATGGTGGAAGAGGAGAGAACAGACTTCTGAAAGTTGTCCTCTGACCTCTGCATGAGTGCCATAGCACACATGCCCACCCATTCCTTACAAAAAGGGTGTGTGCTAATAAAATTATATGAGGGAAAGAGAATACAAAATGTAGACACTACATTGTCAGGGAATTCTACAGAGTAACCCAGTGTTTTTGAGTTAGGTCATGGGACCATTTTTTTCTATAAGATGTTAATATGGTATACAGCAGTTCCCATAAGCATAGGCAGAATTTGCATGGATTTAAAGAATGATTAACTTTCCAGACCCAGAACCCCCACAGTTTGTACTTTAAATACAAAAGCAGTTGCCATTTGCTAGAGATGTGCTATGAGTGTAAGGGTGCCTTGGAGGCCAGAAGAGGACATTGGCTCCCCTGGAGGTTGAGTTACAGGTGGTTGTGAGCTGCTGACATGAGTGCTCAGAACAAAACTTGGGCTCTTTACAAGAGTAGCAAGTGCTCTTAATCACTGAGCCATCTCTCCAGACATTGCTTCCATGTTTTTTCCTCTATATTGTGTGACTCCTTGCCTCCTGCCTATTCTACACATCAATTTCTAAAGTTCCCATTCTACAAAAAAGGTCTGGTTGGGCATCTGGTCTTTGGTTCTAGTTGAAGGTATATCTTAAGAGGCTGCATCTTTAATGCACCAGAGCTTGGGTCTGTTCTATGTTAATGGAATTCACTCTTTGACTTTTGGGCTATTTCTCATGGGTGGTAGATCCAAGAGTCATCCTTCATTTATAGGCATAGAACACACTATCTGCTAGCAGGCTGGGGTCTTGTGTGGTAATTGATGGCTTTGTGGTTAATACTGAACACCTACACAACATCCTCCACTCATCTAATTGTGGTTGGTGAGGACTCAGGCTGCTTCCCTCCAGAGCACTTACCAGCCTCTTTTTTTGGACTTGAGTCACTGGACTGAGCTTCTTCCCAGCTCCCTAACCAGTAATGGGCCTCAGTTGCATCCAGTATCAGTTTGTAACTGTAACACATCTGTTTTCCCAGGCCACTGGATACTGTCGGCTAAGACCTTCCCTGCAGTCTCCAAAGAAGAGCATAATCTGTGGGAGATAATTAGCTCTCCAGTCTGATATAATGCATAAATAGATGGGCAGTTTAAATAGGCATGCCACTTTGTCAGGGAACGCATCCTAGAAAGACCTATAAGTTGGGAAGACGAGCTCTCAAATGCAAACCAAAACAGAGAAAGCCAGAATCTGGCAGATTAGGTTATTGGGGGGAACTTGTAAAAGGAAAGTGTTTATTGTTTTTTGTTTAGTCTAGGGATTCCCAGTGCTCTTTAATTCTGGCATAGGGTCCCATAGCTAAAGTTGAACTTTAGTGTCTCATTAACTTTTCTTTTCAGTGAAGATGTTAAATATGTGGTTTCAGTTCCCCCCAAGTACCCTGTGAATCCACCCTACAAACATTGGAAGAGCTATTTCAGAGGCCAGGCCCTCCACAGGCACTCTGCACTGAGCTTACCTACACTTGGCCTTCTTTGGCCCCATCCCTGATCTCACTTCTTTATCTCACCACTTCTGGTACCAAGTGGCTGGCATATGCTGGAATACACTTGCTATCTTAGCACGTGGGAGGCCGAGGCAGGAGGATCTCAAGCTGGAGGCTGGCCTGGGCCACATGGTAAGATCTGTGGAAAAGGAAAGAGAAACCAGTCACAGAAACAGCAAAAGAAAATGGAATCAAATGTGCAGAAATCTAGAAAGTAAGAACATAGTTTCTTTAGCCAAACTATCATGAGCAAAGTTCCTGTTAACCACAGATATGTGAGGGTCATCAACTCGCTGCACAGTCACAAAACTTTTAACTTCGAGTCTCTTGCAATTGGTGGTTTATGATTTCCTCTCAGGACCAGGTGAAAATAGGAAGCTTATCGATGGGTCTTTGTATTTATTTATTACATTTTATTTATTTATTTTTTGTTTTTGTATTTGGCAAACTATATGTAAAATAAGTCACCATTTTAATTCTTTTTGTGTGTATAGAATAATGGCATTAAGCACATCCACACTGCTGTGCAATCCTGTCTACCATCCACTCACAGAACTTTTTCTTCATGGAACTCAGTACCATGAAACATGGACTCCTCGTCCTCCCTCTTCCAGCCCCTGGGAACTGATATTCTACAGTCTTTATGAGTTTGATGACTAAGTTTATGTAGAATCATACAATACCTTTCCATCTTTGTATTTCTTTGAAGAAGACTTGAAAGCTTAACTAAAACTTATGAGACATTTTCCAGGGGGCCAGCCCAGCAGTGGCAGGATGAGGGATGGAGATGCTAGCCTGTGTGCTAGGAGGGTGTCCAGGGGCCAGCCCAGCAGCTGCTGCCTGGGGGGGATGGGTATCAGCAGTGCCAGCCCCACAGCCTGGGCCAGGTGATTCCTGTCTAGACACTGGCTCAGTCTGTATCATTTCATTCTCCATCCTTTGTCCAGATGTTTGTATTTCATTGATGAGATTTTTGTACCTTGGGTGGGAGGTAGTATGGAGATAGAATTTGGCTCTGGGACTGAGCTGTGCTAATGTTCAACAACAGAGCTATACTCCCAGCTCCTGACCTTTGTTTTGTTTTGTTTTTTGAAATAGGGTCTCACTATATGGCCCTGGCCAGCCTGAAACTCAATGTATAGACCAGACTGGCCTTGAACTCAAGAGAGTCACCTCCTTCTCCAGTGCTAAGCTCAAAGGCATGTGCTACCAGGCCCTACCCCTGACCATTTTTTAAAAGCTGTGTAGCTATGAACAATTGTAAATTAAATTGAAAAATGTATTATGTAAGCTAGCTCTCACAAACATATTAGGAAATTAAATTGACAAAATATGTGCAAGACCTGAAAAACAAACACACTAAGACAACTGAGAAAAATTAAAGACTAATAAATGTTACCTAGATAATATAGCAAATCACATATAATTACCTTACATATATTCATTAGCATGTATCAAATATAACTTTGGTCTTCTGGGTATACATTCAGATGACTTTTTTTTTTTTTGAGACAGGATCTCCCTGTAGTCCCAGCTAGCCTGTATATAGATCAGGCTGGCCTCTATCTCACAGAGATCTGCCTCCCAAGTACTGGAATTAAAGGTGTGCACCACTATACCTGTCCCAGATGGCTTTTCATATTACTTCATTAAATTTGCCACAGGAAATAGTGAACGGGCCAGGGGATGGCCTAGTGGGTAAAGGTGCTTGACCTGAGTTTGATACCCATGATCCAAATGGTAGAAGGAGAGAACTGATTCCCAAAAGTTGTCCTCTGACTTCCACCCATGTATTGTGGCATGAACACACACATACACACACACACACACACACACACACACACAAAACTGGAATAAAAATTTTAAAACAGTACATTGCAACTGTTTAAAAATTCCTTCTGGGGCTGGAGAGATGGCTCAGCAGTTAAGAGCACTGAATGCTCTTGCAGTCTGACCTCTGTAGCACAGGTGCACTCACATACATGCAGGCAATACACTCATACACATAGAATAAAAAATAATAAAATAAAATATTTTTAAAAATTCCTTCTTCTATCCCTGCCCTCAGTCCTTCCCTGTGGGAAGCCGAGGTTACCCACCCCTTAGGTATCTTTCCAGAGCTATTCAGTACACACATAATCCCATGCATGTTTTATGGGCACCCATCCCCATCATGGGGCGCTGACCTAATAAAGCATTATTCATAGCTGTGTTGAAACTTAGTACCCAGTATTCACCTTTTTTGGGGGGTATGGAACTTCTGTTTGCAGCCGAATAGTGTACTATGCTGTGGTTATATTTTACTTTTTGATTTCCCAGAATGTGCTTCTATGCTTGCTGGCTTGCTTAGTTTTCAAATTTTCAACCACTCTTTCTTCTTTCAACTATGAAAGAAAATACTGTATGTATCTCCTCCTACAATCATGAAACTGTCAGGACTGCTTCTTGTCTGGAAGATTCCTGTCCTAGCTCCTGCCTCAGTCTGAACAGGCTGCCCTCCAGGTCTGGCCCATCTGTGTCACCTTCCACCTTCACTGCCATTCTGGGGACCCCTAACCCCTCTGAATTCCTACTTCTGCTTCTAGAGCCCAGGTCACCTCTTTCCTGCCTTCTCCTCCTTCACTTAGATGTGGAGTCTTTCCTCTGTTAACTTCCTGAACCTCATATGCCTGAAAAGTCCTTTTCCCCATCCTGACTTTGAGGTGGTTTGGTTAGATACAGACTTGAAAAAGGAAATGAATTCCCTGTTGTAATTGACATATTTCCTCCGAGCTGTCAGAGTTGCTCTTGCCCAATGTGACAGGGCCTACATCTTTCCTCCTAGAAGCCTTTATGATCTTGGCTCTGGTTCAGAGATGTAGCATTTCCTGCTGAAGCCCTTTGCTGCATCTTTTCTCTCCTACTGTGCTGCTGCCCACTCAGGGGCCTGGTTAGAACAGGCCTGCATGGCAGTTCTAGGGCAAATTCTTGAATTCTCCGTTCCTATTTCCCTGTCTTTTTCTGGAATGCCCCTTAGTTGTTGAGTTGCCTAAGTTTGCTATTTTGAGTTCAGAGCCTTTCCCGTGGAACCTCCACAGAGACCCAGCCTCCTGATTCTGTGGAGAAGGGAGGCTGTGGAAGGGAGTCTACCAGGGACAGCCACTCCTCTACATCTTGCCTTCTCAGAGGGTGCTTTGATGCAGATGTCCAAGAAGCATTAGAATTGCTCATGGAAGAGCTTACCTTTAACAGATGGAGTTGGGTTTAGACAGGTGCTCTGTCCAGGAACATATTGCTAACCCTTTCCTCATGTGCATTTGGGTCGTGGTCCTTCTTCTGCATGCTTCCTTTCTCTTTCTAGGCTGGATTTTCCTAGGTGATGGCTTCAGGTACTCCAGGACATTTTGCACAGTCCAATTCCTATAGTCCAAGTATGTGGCTGAACCGGTACTTGGTCTTATTTCAGGATGATGCCTCCCTCTCTTCACAGTTTCCTTGTCTCTGTGAAGCCTTGAGTTTTAACTCTTTGCAAGTTGAGTGGATCTTTTCAACTTGCAAGAGTCAGGTTTCTTCCTCTACCATGTCAGTTCTGGGGTCCTCAGGCTTGGTGGCAAGCACCTTTATCCTCTGAGCCATATTGTTGCCCCCAAATGCAGCTTTTATGTGTGCTATATAATTTGCTCTTTGTAAACATGTTGCAAAGGTAGAAAGCAGATAGTAGAAGTCAAGGTTGCATTTTATTTTGCTTTGTTTGGTTTTGGTTTTGTGATAAAGTCTTACTGTGCAGCCACAATTCTCCTGTCTCAGCTTCCTGAGTGCTGGGATTATAGGCACGTATCACCACGCCCAGTTATATCAGATATTTTCCGAGTGTTTCAGCTGTAACACAAACAAAGTAAAGCTAAGGTGACTGATAACCAACCAGTGTGCTGGTGTGACCATCCCTAGAGAGAGAATGAATGAGTCAGGGACTTGTCCCTTGCCCCTCAATCCCTACCCCAGGCCTGGGATATGTAGCAGAGTCAATCACAGTGATGCTGTCAGTGATCAACTTTCTAAAGTGATGACTGAGGCCCCAGAAAGTTCTAAACCAAAAAAAAAGAAAAAGGTTATCAGGCCTCCATTTGCATGATAGTTGTAGTTCTAGGGAATTAGGGGAATACTAAGGGTGTGCAAAATAGAATTTGGTTCTTGTGTCAGAAGATCATTTGGGATACAGAACAATCGTCCAGGAACCCCAAAATCCATGGTGTCCCTTAGTCATTGTGACTACCAAAAACAACTCTGCAAATTTCCTCAATTACCTGAGGGAGCAGTATCAAGGCCATGGAAACCAGGACAGGTGACAGTTAGTATGTGTATTCGGATTCTTAAGAGAAATGGAACATATATGTACATATATAGGGGTGCATAGTTTTAGGAAATTTTCTACACTATAGTGGGGAGTAGCAAATCTGTAACCAGCAGGTCCTTGGTTGGAACCCATGGAAGAGTTTATACTGTAGTCTCAAATCTTAAGGCAGTTTGGATGCAGAAGTCCCTCTTCCTCAGGGGACCTGAGTCTTTTCTTGTCATACCTGCAATGGATTAGACAAGGCCCACTCGTGCTGGGAAGGATAATCTGCTTTATTCAAAAGTTGCCAAGTTAAATGTTACTGACATCTGAAAAATAACCCTGACAGCAATGTCTAGATAGCCAGGTACCATGGCTTGGCCATGTTGACACATAAAGTGAACCATCCTTGCATATGATGAAGTTGAAGGATTTTCTTTTCTTATGACAGGGACTCAAAAAGATAGCCACTATAAATCTCTTCCTGTGTTTCTCTTTTAAGCATAGCCAGTGTGCAGCGCTCAGACAATGGGTCATACATCTGTAAGATGAAAGTGAACAATGAAGAGATCGTATCTGACCCTATCTACGTGGAAGTTCAAGGTAAGTTCAAAACCAGAGTGTCTGCTTTGCCTGAGAACTGTTTTAGAGCCTGTATTAAATGTTTACTGTGTGATATTCAGGGTTTGGCCTGTCAGTTTATAACTGTATATATAAACCTTACAGATCCATCAGTGCTGAAACTTTATAAGACAGTCCTCTCTATTAGACCTTAGATAATGATGAAATTGATTCAGTTCTTTTAAAAACTTACATTTATGAGAGAGAGAGAGAGAGAGAGAGAGAGAGAGAGAGAGAGAGAGAGAGAATATGTTATAATATATGTGCCAGTGCCCTCAGAGACCAGAAGAGGTCATTGGAGCTGGAGTTATAGGCAGTTGTACGCCGCCACCTGATATAGGTACTGGAAACCAAACTCTGGTCCTCTGGAAGAGTAGAAAGTGCTCTTAACTGCTGAGCCATCTCTCCAACTCCTTGATTCAGTTCGTAATGGTTGAGCTGTATGTATACAAGCACTAAAGATGAGATTAAAAGACTCCTCAGGGATCTGGGGAGATGGCTTAGTGGAGAAAGTGTTTACAGAGGACTTAAGTTTGGATCTCCAGCACCCACAAAAAGGCTAAGGAGGAAGACATCCAAAACGAACACACCTGGAGAGAGAGAGAGAGAGAGAGAGAGAGAATGAATTCCTTATCCGTTTTAAAAAATTTACAACCTAAAAAAATTCATCTTCTTTTGTCTTGCATACACAATGGTAGCACACAGGGGAAGGAATGCTTTTCCTAGACTGGATCAACAGCTCGGCCTGGGACTGCTGTGGGTGCTTAAGTTCCCACAGGTTTCTCCAGGTGTTTACTTGAGAGAAAATTCTTTGACATATTTCACAGTATTACATGGGGTTGGTGGGTTGAGGGACTGAGGTGTCACTAGGATCAGTCAGTCTGTGCCACTGAGGAGCCTCAATGCTAGTGGGAAAAGTGAGCTGATGCAAGACAGTCAGGCCAGGTGAGGCCAGGTTCAGGGTTCTGTGTCCTTGAGTCTGGGGTTTTGTGTGCTTAGCTCCACAGTGGCATCCTGTCAAGAAATTTGGGACACAGGCTTCCAAGTAAGTACTTACTGGCTTTATTCTGAGAAATTCTCAAGCTCCTTTACAGACCTGATTTTGAAACTGCAGTAAATCTTGGGATTATAACTGTGGCTCTGTGCCTATTCTGTTTTTAAGAGAACTTTATAAAATGATAAGCCTTACCCAAATATATGGAGGGTTATGGTATGTGTGTGTGTGTGTGTGTGTGTGTGTGTGTGTCTGTCTGTCTGTCTGTCTGTCTGTCTATGCATTGTTTATCATGGAACCCAGGGCCTTGAGCATGCGAAGCACCTGCCTACCACAGGGCCTTATTGTTGCCCCAGGTGTTGCCCTTCACCCCTGATGGCCTGCCTTCCAAGGTGCCCCAGCAGCATGGCCATCTCATTACCAATATTTTCATTTTCCTCTGCCCCTCCTCATCACATTTCCATTAAAAGGCTCTTTTTTTTTTTTTTTTTTTTCTGGTGCTCGTTCTTTTGTGAACCTGAACTCATATCCAGTAATGTTGCAGGAGGCTTGGGAGAAGGAGGGGAAAAAGGAAAGGGGAGTTAGTGAGTAGGAGAGTACTCACTGGAAGAGACAGAGAGATGAGTTCTTGTGGACTTATGTTTTGGGCCCATCCCAAGCTAGATAGCTGGTGCCTAACTGCTGTGAGCATCAGCCAGCAAGACAGCATCTCTGACACTTGGAATTAATCTGGTAAAATTATAAATATATTGGGGCTAGCGAGATGGCTTGGTGGTTAAGAACACTGAATGTTCTTGCAGAAGACCCGGGTTCAAATCTCAGCACCCACATGGCAGGTAACAACTGTCTGTAACTCCAGTTCTAGGGGATCCGACAGCCTCTTCTGTCCTCCACGGGCATTGCATGACATGGGTGCACATACCTACATGCAGGCAATACACTCATACACATAAAAATATAAAAATGATAAAAAAATATGCAGGCAAAAACACGTATACACATAAAACAAATAAATTAAAAATAAATAAATAAATAAATATTTAGAGGATATTTTACTTGTCAGGATCCCAAAAATGTGCCCAAAGTGAGACAATTGTTGAAGATGTGAAAACTTCGGAATAGGAAAAAATAATCCTATTTCAAATGCAACCAGATTTATGAGATATAAATTCCCAAAACCCACAGTTTAAATACTTGAGGTCAGTCAGCTTGACTTGTTAAAATTTGGGCACATGTTCCAAACAATCACTGGTTTTCTCTGAGAAATTCCTAAGCTCCCTAGCAGACCTGATTTTGGAATTTCAGTACACCTTAGGATTATAACTGTGGAACTGTGTCTATTCTGTTTTCAAGAGAATGTATTTTGTAAGTTGTTCAGTCACACAAATATATTGAATTAGGTTTGTGTATGTGTGCACACATGCTTGCTCACATTGCTAAGAACATTGAACCCAGGACTTTATGCATAGTGAGCACATGCCCCACCACTGAGCAACACCCCTTGCCCCAGGTGTACAGCTTTTAAAATCCATTGTCACTGATCTGAAAGTCACATATACCCTTGGTTGTCTTCAGGCAGACCTATTGCATAGCTTTGATTTTTTTTTTTTTTTTAACTCTGTTTCTTTTGATGAGAACCGTGAAAAACCTGCCAACAAGTACGAGGCAACACCTGATCTAAGAACTGTCAGTTGACTCCCTTCTGGCCAAACAGCTCTGAATCACCATTTACAATCTCTTTGGGAACATATCCTAGAAAGCTGACTGGGGAGGGACTGGTAGTCATGGGCATCTGCAGTCTCTCGTACCCTTCTGGGAAGAGGTGGTGATTGGCCATTGGGAGCCACAGTGGTGCATGTAAGTTGCCACATGCTGTCCGCATCCCCTGAGGACTCTGCTTCTGGTTAAGAGTCTGAGGCATGCTGTGCTCCAACTCTTTCTCTGCAGGACTTCCTCACTTCACCCAGCAACCTGAGAGCATAAATGTCACCAGAAACACAGCCTTCAACCTCACCTGCCAGGCCGTGGGCCCTCCTGAGCCCGTCAACATCTTCTGGATTCAAAATAGCAGCCGTGTTAATGAAAAGCCTGAAAGGTCCCCCTCTGTCCTAACCGTTCCTGGTAAGTCTGAGCTCTGTGCTTGTTTATTTATTCATTCATTTCTTTTTGTAACAGCAGGAGTCAAAACATTGGTGGTGATTGCTGCACCCCATCAGTGGTCAGTTAGAAGGGTAAGAATGCAGCTGTGGCAGCAATAGTGGAAGAGGTAATGGAAGGGACAGTGGGAAACACGTATGAGAATCCCCCTGCCATGGTTTGGAGGTGGGTAAGTGTGAAGGGCTGAGTTGCCCACAGGGACAGAATCCCTGAGCCCAGGTGTCTGGAGCCCTGCACACATCTCTGTGACAGCGTGGCTTTGCCTGCTGGCAGGTCTTACACTTAAGGAAACGCTAAGGTGAAGACCTCGGTGAAGGATGGATGCCAAGAAAGTGGATTGGTCATGGGGCACTGTGGCAGGAAGTTTGTGAGTCACTGCAGGATTGTTGGTGAATTGACATTCCATGGTCATCTTGATCTCCATCCAAACCAGAGTGCCTTGGCTTTGTTCCCACACTTGGGCAGGCTCCTGTCAGCAATGTGGCGGAAGCCGGTGCGCTCCTCTACCCCTCCGATGGCTCCTTTGAGCAACATCTGACAACGTGGCCACGGCCACACTCTGTCTTCCTTTCTTCATGCATTCAATAAATGGTCAGGGGCCTACTGTGTGCCCGAGGCGGTTCTAGGCTTGGTATCACAGGGGTGGAATTTTCAAAGCACGTGGTCCTGGCTTTCTTCCCTCCTCCTTTGTTGCAGAGCCAGTTCTGAATGTTGGGTGCCCAGCTCAGTCCTGGCCCTGCTTCTTTCTTCTCTGAGACACGCCCTTCTGGCTGCGTTCCTTGACTGGCTTCAATTGCATCTGTGGACTGATGGCCTGGAACTTTACATCCTGGGCCCCGCCCTTTCCCTGGAGCATCTAGTGTCTCTGCCCAGCCGCCACCTCCTTGACTTTTCCACTTGCTAAGTACCTAGATTTCTTAAAATGCAACTTTTGATTTCCCCATGAGACTTCTGCCCTAGAATTCCCCTTCTTAGAAAACAGTGTCATTGTGTGGGCATCCTTCCCTTTCCTCATTTTTCATGTTGAAAGCATCAGCAGTTCTGTGAGTTCTGCTTCTCAGTACAGCAAAGTTCACCTTCTCTCCATCTCTGCTGTAAAGAGGTCACACTACATCACGGTCAGGTCTCACCAACCCCACTGCAGTGCCTTCCTAACTGACCTCTACTCCCAGCCTTGTCCCCTATTTCTCCACCCTTCTCAGCAGCAGATCAAGAAACTTCATCAGTGGCTTGCCTTTTAGACTATGACCCAGAGTCCTTGCTGGCCTTGCCCATCGGCCCTGCATGTTCTGGTGCCTACCTAGTTCTCTACCCCAACCCATTACTCTCTCTGTGCTCATTAAGTGCCATCTACACTGAGTCCCTTCCATTTCTCCAGACACATCATATTCCTTCCTGCCCAGGACCTTTGCCTCTTCTGCCCTACAGTGCTTTCCCAGCTGCCCTTCGTCCTATGACACAGCTCATGTATCCCTTCTTGAGAGAGGCCCTCCCTGGTCATTCCTAAGTATTTTTGCTTCTCTCCACCCTTTACTGACTTCCAGTAATATCTTGTGCATACTCTTCATTGCACTTATCAGATCTTATCACCGTGCGGGAGAAATAACACTGGTTTTCTACCTTCATGGGAATTTCCTTTAAGTTTCACTAAGGAATTGATAACTGAAGAACATCTGTGTTCAAAATCCTTATCATTCAGTATCTACCTCCCAAGTGCTTAGAAAATGGGCATGGACCACCACATCTGGCAGGACTAAGACTAATTTTAAAAAGCCAGATGTGGTGGTACACATTTGAAATTCTCTGTCTCAAAAAGAATTTTTTAATATATTTTATTTATTATTTTTATTTTATGTGTATGAGTGTTATGCCTGCTTGTAAATAAGTACACCTGTGTCGTGCAGTGCCCACAGAGGACAGAAGAGGCTGTCGGATCCCCTGGAACTGGACTTATGGACAGTTGTTAGCTGCCATGTGGGTGCTGGGATTTGAACCCAGGTCTTCTTCTGCAAGAATAGCCAGTGTTCTTAACTGCTAAGCTGTCTCTCCAGCCCTCAAAAATAAAATTTTAAAAAGACATTCTGGAGGTAAAATTGACATATTAAATGCATAAACCATAGTTTACAACTTAGTGAGGTTTGATAAGTGTAGACACCCATGTCTCTTCAATAAAAAATGAAACATATTACCCTAGGAATAATGACTCCCCTTGCAGGCTGTACTGTTATGATGTGTATCAGCATCGTGTTCTATATTATGTGGGTTAGGAGGCCATTGTTTTTTATTGCTGACAGTTCTCTGTGGTATGAAGGTACTAACTTTGCTTATCTGTTTGTTCAGTGAATGTTTGGGACACTTATGGTTATTGATACTGAGTTGAGTAACTATGAAGATCTCTGTATAAGTCTTTCTGGTGATGTTTGTTTTTATTTGTCCTAAATTAATAACCCACCAAAAAAATTAGGGTGTGTGGTGTATATGTGTGTGAGTGCGGGAGTTTGTATAGAGAGCAGAGGACAACTTTGGGGGTCAGTCCTCACCTTCCACATTTTTTGAGACATGGTCTCTTGTTGTTTTTCCACTTTGTATGCCAGGCTAGCTGATCTGCAGGCTTTCTGGGATTCTCCTGCCTCTGTCTTCCCCATTCCTGGGATTACAGACACCTGTGCTGCACATCTCTGGGTTCTAGAGATTCAAACTCAGGTCCTCAGGTTTACATAGCCATCTCTTTTACCCCCTGATCCATCTTCCAGCCCCTCCATTATATAATGGGTGTGTCAGTTTACAGTCCTATCAACAGTAACCACCAATCAAAACATCCAATTGATTCTTATATACTGATAACTAAAATATTTTATTTCATTTCTCCATTATTTACCATTAACGCAGGAAAAAGTAAATTGTATAAGATGGGAACAAAATCTGTCCACAGCTGTTCATCTAAATCTTTGGTGTATGCTTTCTCTGAAATTAAAAGTATGCTTTTGTGGTGAGATTTGCAAATTCTTTTAATACCCAAGGCTGTACTTGTCTTGGCATGGAGCTCTGATTCGTTTCTGTTGCCAGTTGTAACTGCCGCCTGCTTTGTAGTTCTCATTTTTCATGACATACAGTTGACAGTCCTTAATTTGAAGATTGTTTTTCCTTTAGTGGAGAAGAAAGAAGTAAAATAGAATTGACAGGTTAGTAGCCTAGTAGAATACTTTAAAATATAGCCTTGAGGGGCTGGAGAGATGGCTCAGTAGTTAAGAGCACTGGCTACTCTTGCAGAGGATCTGGATTCAATTCCCAGCACCCACATGGCAGCTAACATCCGTCTGTAACTCCAGTTCCAGGAGATCCAACATCCTCTGAGGGTATTGCACGACCTGAGTGCACTTGCATACATGCAGGTGATATACTCATACACATAAAACAAAGGTAATAAAGAAAATACTGTAAAGAAAACTGACTCTCCTCCCAGCAGCTATCAATTGCCAGTAGTTCCACAACCAGTGCTGGGGCTTCTTGCCCCTCCCCCCATCCAAGAGCATTTGAGGAACACTAATTAGTCTGGATAGGCCTTAAAAAAAATAATAAAGGACATGAAGTTATGGGGGTATAGCATGGTGTGGGCAGAGATGGGGGAAGGGGTCTGAATATGATAAGATGTACTGTATGAAATTCTCAAAGTATCAATTATATATATATATATATATATATGTGCATTTTTGAGACAAGGTCTCCCTGTTGCTCTAGCTGGCCTAGAACTTGCTATGTGGAACAGGCTAGCCTTGAACTCACAGAGATCCGCCTGCCTCTGCCTCCCAGGTGCTGGTATCAAAGGCATGCACCACCTTGCCTGGCCAATAAAAATATTTTTAAAGATGTTGCAAACCACAATGATGCTTCAAAGCAAAATGTGAGACTCCCCGTGGTCTCCATACCTCATTCTAAACCAGACTTTTGTTCACTTCCTTCCGTATACATATACACATGCACATGAATGGCCAAAGCTTGTAGGCCTCTTCACATGGGTGCCCGTGGGCTTACCTCATTGTGACACTTGCACAGTGCCTTATGAGTGGATGAACTATAATTTATTTAGCCATTTACTGCTCATAATAAACACTTATTTTTTTGCATTTATTTTTCTGTTTCAGTGAATACTTGTGTAATGTGTTTATAGTCTTGATGTTTGTTGTTCTTGTTCAAATTTTTGTTTTTTGACATTTATTTATTTGGGAGATGTGCCACTGAGCAAATGGGGTTAGAGGACAACTTATGGGAGCTCTTTCCTTCCACCATGAAGATTTCTGAGGACTGAACTCAGGTCATCAGGCTTAGCAGCAAATGCCTTTACCTGGTTGAGCCATCTTGCTGGCCCCCAAAATCCTGTTTTGAAGTATGTATATGCATTATAGAATGGTCAAACAACTAATTAACATATGTACTTCCTCAAAATATTTGGTTTTTAAATTTTTTAATTATTATTTTGTGTGTGTGTATGATGTGTGTCAGAGGGCACACACATACTAGTGCGCACATGTGGAGGTCAAAGGACAACTTTGTGGAGTAATGTGCCTCCTTCCATTCTTATGTGGGTGATGGGGATTGAACTCAGGTTGTCAGGCTTACTTGGGAAGTGCCTTTGGCCACTGAGCCATCTTACTAGCCCCGTACGTACTGGGTTTTGTGGGGGTTTTTTTGGTTTTGTTTTTTTTGTTGTTTTTTTTTTGTGTGTGTGTGGTCGGTCATCTGTTTAGGAGAGATTTCTCGAAAGGGAAGTTGAAGAAAAAAATGGACCTATTTTGAATTTTGATGATTCTCTTTCCAATAAGACGTTGCTAATTTCTAGTCTTCTTAGGAAAGCATGATACCTGCCCCAATCCATGTAAATACAGCATTTTATTATCTTTTAAACCAATCTTTGATTCTCTCTGTGTGTATGTGTGTATGCATGTTTCTGTGTGTGTGTGTGTGTG